ACTTGTGTTTTATTCATATAATATTTAAGTAATATTTGTATGTTTATTCTTGTCATATATCTAAAAATAAATTACTTTATTTTTGAGAAATCTGTTCAGGTCACAAGTTCTTTTCACATTCATGACCAGAGGGGTGTTTCATTGTTCTGATTTCATTTCTTGCAAGATCCTGGGTTACATTTATGAAAATTAGGCTGGCCCTGATTTCATTAATCTAATCCCTACAAATAATAATTTCAAACAATAACAATGTTCAAGCAAAAAAATACAAAAACTTCAGCTCCTAAACAGCAGCTCTTATAAATACAAACTATACAATTTCATATTTTTTAACAAATTAATTTTTATCATTCTTTTAAACAAATCAATTGAACAAACATTTTTACAATCACTATCCAATTTATTCCATAATCGTATTCCCTGGACCTGGATCTGTCCTTTAAATATGGTCGAATTTTAGGTTTTACAAACATTTCCAATCCTTTAAGATTATAACCACTTTCCCTCTTAACAAAATTTGATTGGATGCTCAAACATAATACCTTTTTATGAGCCTTATACATAAACAGCAAAATATTATAATCAACTAACTCATAAAACTTTAATAATTTCCACTGATAAAATAATATACTTGATTGGTGATAGAAATGTTTTCTGGTGATAATTCTTACGGCTCTTTTCTGCAAAATAAAAATAGGATTTGTAATTGTTTTACATGCTTACTTCACTACCTCAAAGTGATTTATTTGCTTCTTACAGACTATTCCATGTGTTCTAACCTGGGACTGTATAAATATTAATAAATAAGTGCTTCTGATCAATCTTTCTTTTAATTGACCATGAAACTAAGATAAAATAAATTAAGCTAATGTACGCTAACATTTGTCAGGTAAAGAAAGCAAGAGGTAAACCCGTTTATTAAAGTGTGAACTGAAAGATGCTGCATGTGTTTGTCAGCTTTATTTATTCTGTTGCCGTTTGTTACTATGTTAGGTAGAGAAGAGTCAATCTCTGTAGAAACTGAAGAGTTGAAACAAACATAAAATATCACCATGAGTTGCATAAAACAGCTTCCTCTTGAATCAAGCATAAAAGACCTTTTACATTCACTTCCTGTTTTGTTCTGTTCTGTTGGTCAGTATGCTACAGAAGAAGGCCGAGGGGACAGACGTAGTGTGAAGTGACTGTAACATCAGAACATAAGAAACACGACGGGCTGAAGAGAGAAATAAAGAAGCTGTGGAGAGGTGGGTCCAGTGAACACTGAAGCACTTGGTGCTGTGACCCTCAAACTGGGAGAGCGTCAGCTGACAAAACTACAGCGACTTCACGCCAATATGGAGCAAAATCGGTACTACAAGCAGAAAAGAAAAAGTCAAGAGTATACATTAAAAACAGGTGGGAAAAAGAGACTAAACTGGACATATCTGAAGAAGACTGGTCAAACATCTGTAAAACTGTAACAACCACTTCATGTTCTGATTTATGGAAAGAATTTACTTGGAAGAATGTTGTGAGGTTTCTTATTACTCCTAGAGTTAAGAAACTCCAAAGTAAAAACCGGGAACTTTGAAAATGCTGGAGGAAATGTGGACACACATCAGTTGGTCATTTTCATGGTTTTTGGGAATGCCCCAAAATCTCCCCCTACTGGACAGACGTGATGAGGATCACTAAACAGATCACTGGACTACAGCTAGAAGAGAGCTTCATGGTATTCTACCTTGGCAATAACCCAACTGGCCTGATGAAACAAGACAGATGTTAAAAATACTACAAGCAGCCAGCAAAAAGGCAAAAACAAGAAAATGGTTAAGAGAAGAATCGCCGTCAGTTCTGGAGTGGATGGACGTAACACAGGAACTTTATTTATACAATGAAGAGACTGACTTTTTCCCTCAGATATTCCTCAGCAGAATGTGAACAATATTGGAAAAAATGAAAACAGTTTATCTGCAATTAAACACATTACACTCAATATTGAACACCAATCATAACCCACATAACCACCAACTAAATTTTCAAATAACGTTTATCTTTGTTTTTTTTACGCATATCTGATAGCTTTTCAAATGTTTGACTAGTTTGTGTCAGTCTTATTTGTCCTAATTTGCTTTATTTGTTTTTTTGTCACTTCAGTAGAAAACGAAACCAAATATTATTAGTTTATTTAGTTTATTTATCTCTTCATCATCAGTGACTTAGATAAGATAAGAAAGAAAATATGCTTCATTTGTTTTAATGCTAATTTGTTTTCCATTGAAAATAGAAAACGTTCAATAAAAATAAAAGTAAAAAAATGGAGCAAAATCTTTAAGGAGTGTTTCGAACACCTTATTCAATCTGTGGCATAAAGAATGAAGGCTGTTGTGAAGGTAAAAATTGTGTACTGGTGTGGGGGTGTATGTGAGAGCTTACAGAGACCCCCTGGTATCCACGCTGACAGGCCAGGTGCAGGGGTGTGAGGGCGTGGTAGTCTGTAGCATTTACTGGAGCTCCTTTACGCACCAGCAGGTCAATGAGCTGAGCCTGACCTAAAGCAGGAAACACAACCAAGCCTTAGTTTTTACAGTACTAAGATGATGCTCCCATTGAGTTTTATCCGTGTGTGTACGTATGTGTTTTTACTACAGAGTGAGGACCATTTGTGCCATAGTTACTATCAAAGCGAGGTCTTTGATTGTAAAGTAAGGACCTCTTTAACGTCCTCACGTTGTTTGCAGCTCTGCTGTGCTTTACTAGTTAGCTTTAGAGGTATGGTGTGAATTAAGTTCTGGTTCTGGTTAATGTTAGCTATAGACCAGTAATGGTTAATTTTAGGGAAAAAATTTTTTCTTTTCTTTTTTTTTTTTTCAAAAAATTTATTCATTTCATTTTTAAATAAAAACAAAGAAAAATACATTACAAATAATAAACAACTTATATCTTAGAGAAAAATAACAAAATGAAAGGCAGCAGCAGAAGAAAAAAATCTTATAAAGTCTGCTCCTTTTGTTTCCAAATACGTTTTCACTTTGAAGTGTGATTTTCAATTAACACAATACAAAAATGTCTGGGTTAGGCATAAATACAGTTACAAAAATGAATGGAAGTTAATACAATGTTCTCAGTTTGATGCAAATACAAGAATGTGTGTGGGTGTGTGCGTGCGTGCGTACGTGCGTGCATGTGTGTAAGCAGCTCACCACACACAGCAGCAGCATGCAGTGGAGTGTAACCTCTGTCGTCTCTGGAGAACGGGGTAACAATGGACAGATCGTTCAGACGCCTGAAACACAACCAGACGTTTGAATTAGTTTACAGCTGCAGGCTGACAGTTTAGCTACAGCAGTGAGTCTCAGCAGGTGCACTGTGGCACCAGTGTGGGTTGTGGGCCTTTGTCTGGGAAAAAGATGTCAGGAAACAACAAGCAAATTATGTTTTTTTCCGAGCTACACCTGAATGCAGCACCTCCTGCTGAACTGATCACCTAATTCAGGGTTGTTTAGTCCTGGTCCTGGAGGGTCTCCATCCTGCGTGTTTTCCTTGTTTCTTTGCTCCAACACATCTGATTTAGTGACTGAATTACCTCTTCGAGTTCTGCAGAAGTCTGTTGGTTAAACATTCATTCAAATCAGATGTGTTGGAGCAAAGAAATGTCCAAACCATGCAGGACTGAACACCTCTCCACTAATTGCTTGTGAATCTATGCTGCTTGCCTTTACAGACCTCTTAGACCTAGCCTAATTACCGTTTTACCCACCCTTAGACCAGATGAGGTTGGTGACCACCTCAGTTTATTAGAGGTTAAAGATAAAACAGAGGAGCAGCACAAAAAGAGCCAAGAAACAAGTTAAACCAGTCAAATCCTTGTCTAAATATGTGTGTACTTGGTTTTTGTTTATGTGTTAAGACCTTTTCTGGTATCTGCACCTGCCTGGTCAGGACCAGTCTAGTTCTTATGAAGACCAAAGCCTGGTCCTAATACAGTGGAACATCATTTTGTGTTGGTATTAGTTTTTGTCCCTAGAAAACATTACAGTCACCCATCCAATCGATTATTTTATCAACTGAAATTATTGAAATTCTACGATTTGGTTGATTATAATATTTTACAGGTTATGTAGGGCTCACAAAAACATATTGCCTTTAAACATCCAATTAATTTTGTTAAAAGAGAAAGTTATTACAATCTTAAGGGGATAGAGTTGTTTGAAAAACCTAAATTTAGAACCAGTTTGAAGGAGCGGTGTACTTCAATCCAAGGAATAAGATCATGGAAAAATCTGGAGAGTGATGTGAAAAATGTCAGATCAATGTTTTTGTTCAAGAAAATGATAAAAGTTGGTTTGGTAAAGAAATATGAAATGGAATAATATATGAATTGCTGTTCATCAAGGTTTTGATGTTTTTGTTTTTTGTAAATTACTATTGTTTTAATTCATTCTTGGGAAAAATGGGAAGACATAAGACATTTTTCTTCTTTCTGCTGCATTTCAATTTATTTATATAATATTTATTTTGTTGTGTATATTTATTTTGTTTTTAAATTAAATGAATAATTAATAAATAAAGTGAGGACACTGGGGATCAGTGAGACAGCGAGGTCCTCACTTTGTTTGCAGCTCTACTGCACTCTACAAGTTAGGTTTAGAGCAGTGGTGTGAATTAAGTTTTGGGTTCGGGTTAGGAACAGACTAATTTAATTTAATTTAGAAGCCTTATCAACACGAACTGGCTTCATTCACTTCCTCCACTGCCGTAGCTAAACTAACTAGCAGACACTGCACAGAAAATTGACGTTCTGTTCTCTGATTGGCCCGGAAGAAATGCTCCTGAAGAAATCCTTGTCAATGGGAGAAATCCCAGACGGGGCAGTGAAGGGAAACTAGAATTGAGCGGAGCTGCGTAGGAAGGTAAGGGCCAGGCTAGAACAGACTAGTAAAAATTAATTTTAAGAGAAATATCTGGGTTAGGCATAAATACAGTTACAAATGAATGGAAGTCAATCCTCGGTTTGATGCAAGTACAAAGGGGTGTGTGTGTGTGTGTGTGTGTGTGTGTGTGTGTGTGTGTGTGTGTGTGTGTGTGTGTGTGTGTGTG